CTGAAGGTAAAGAGACTGGTGAAAACCCTCCTAGGGTCTAAACTATCATTCTTTCCAAGAAGTTTTTTTGAAAAAATACAAATGTGATTTGAAGATTCTGGGAGACACATGGTATTTCATATGAAGCTTCTAGGCTGACAAAAATGCACTATTTTTCCTAAGTATTAAAAATATCTTGGGGAGTCAGGCATTGGTGGTGCATGCCTTTAATCCCAGCACTAGGGAGACAGAGGCAGGCGAATCTCTGTGAGTTTGAGGCCAGGCTGGTTTCCAGAGCAAGTGCCAGGATAGGCTCCAAAGCTACACAGAGAAACCCTGTCTCGAAAAACCAAAAAAAAAAAAATCTTGAGGAAACTTTTCTTCTCTCACCCCACCATCCACTCCCTTTCTGTACCCCTCTGACTCCTTGAGGAGTCTACTGCTTCCTCTAAAATGTATGAGCACCATACCCTGGAGTAAAAAAGGAGTGCTTGGATAGAAGCCAGAAATACTGAGTTTGGTTCTTTCTCTCTAGGTTATCTTGTCAACCTCTCTAAGCTCTATCTTTATTTTTTCACTTTGTTTAACATGGAAAACACATGATAATTTCTGTGTTTTTAAGTTTGGCTACAATAACATCATAAACCACCTTCATGGATGAAAATGCTAAAGCAGAGAAATGCCTAGTCAGAAGTGATTAGATATTCTAATAGCAGTCACGGCATGGGAAAGAACCTGCCTTATCCCTAGGGTTACATTTTCAGGGGTAGATATCATCATGTTCCCTTAATGTAAGAAACAGTGGAAATATGCTGTGTTATTTTCCACTCTTCCATATAGTAAAAACAAAAAGTTCACAAAGGGCACAAAAGACAAAATAAGGTATATTGGTAGCTTGATAAACCCATTTAAGAATAGTGAGGGAGATGGTGCCCAGTGATTTGTACTCTAAACATATGCCTGAGAAAAACACATGACAGTCACATCTGAAAGCCTAATGTTAGTTGTTTTTACAAAGTCAAGTCATAGCTGCAATAATTTACCTTAAAGTAAGCAAAGGCCCTTCTCAGCATCTACACTGAACTACCTGCAAAATCCAAGTGCCTCTGATAGATCTAAAATTTTCCACCAAGAAAATATAGAACATTCAGCAAAATATATTGGCTGTATACTACCATAATGGCTCATTAATTGTCATTATGATGCAGATATGTAATGGAAACAGATGTTCCTTTTTCCTCTCAGCAGCACACAGGAAAAGTGTAAATTTGCTGATGCTGCATGGACTACCACCTCAGCACAATAGAGGAAAAAAGACATTAGCACATGACAATATTAGTTTTTACTACAAAACTAATTGCATAAAAAGGTATAACTTGAGATCATTAAATCAATATAATTTTCAGCACTACAGAAAGGAAACAAATAGATTTGTATAACCAGCCTCCTTATTTCACATCTGCAGTTGGAAAAAATACTTCCAAGACACTAAGTATATGCAAAATGTTACCACTGCTTTCAGAACACAAGGAAAGAGATGTTGTCCTGTCATGTTTGCTCATGCAACATGAATTAGAATGCGAAATTTACAGAGAACTTCTTTTCAGGTTGTTGGTATAATGGCTAGAACTTGTCTGGAAAATAGCTTGGCAATCAATACAAAGATTCTACGAAACAGTCTGTACTTTCAGTGAGATTAACTTTTCACTAATAATATACTGTGTGGAAATATCCATATATGATTTATGCTTTAAATGCACAACTTTGTAATAATGGAAGATTAGAAATCTCATTTCATATCCAAAAGTAGAGCAATGAATAATTACAGTACATGTGTTAAAATACAGCCAAGTAAATGTAAGTGATTTCCATAATAATTTAATCATATTTAAATTCTTGGAGGAAAATGGGTTGGAAAAACACAAAAAAATCACTTTTAATTTTTACAAATTCTCTCCAATTTGGAGACATTAGTTTTTAAATCATAAAATGTTATGAGTTTCTTTTTATTTAAATGTTGTGTTTCTATGGTCTTATACAGCTGTCATTGTCCAAAGTTTACAAAATATTTTTGTGTCAAATAATTCTACCAAAAAGATCTGATGAGGTAAATTGACTTAAAATTTTGTAACATGTTATTTAATTTCTAAATCTGGCAGAAAAAGAAAAGCATTTGCCAATCACATGAGTAATGTACATTCTCCCCTTAACTAAATAGGTTAACTACAAATTGTAAAACAGTTACAGAATAAACATGTTTACTTACAATCTACATGTTCTGTTACATGCCATCAATTCCAGAATTTTTCCAATTAAAAGTATTTCTAAAGCCAAGAAAGTAGCTTATTAATTGTTCTCCTCTGTATGCCAATAAAAATATTTGCTATGGCTTTCCTAGGATTCTTAGTTTCCTTGTTCTTTTTTACAAGAAGGAGTTGATTTGTCTTAGGCTATTACTGTCTATTACTTCTAGAAGTCTTGAGGAAAGGTGGGAAGCAGCAAATTCTGGCAATCTGCCTAAAGAGAAATCAATGAAACAAATTAATCCTTCGCTGGCTGCAATGACACAGTAATCCATCATTCTGAGCTGCTTTCTATACCAAATCAGAGAGCAGCGGAAAGAGCCCTGGGGGACAACACAGACAACAACTTACACCAACACTGGGAAAACACTGAAGAATCAGTTTATTTAAAGAGGATAGATTTCAGTTGATTGCCTGTTTTGTCAAATAAATATTTTTCTTCCACAGTGTGGTGAACCTAAGGGTCATGACTATATCTTTAGAATTCAGTACCAAATATACTAGCTGATACCTATAGGGGATGCACCCTTTAAGTCATTTGCATTGTTAATTAGCTGCTCAAATATCTAATGAGTAATCTTATCATTCCATCCAACTTTCACTTGTGCAACATGTCCCCTTCTCAGTAGGGTTTAACAGTAAATTTGCATACAAATCAACCACATATGAAGTGTTTATATATCAAATGCAATGTTAGAGATATATGTAATTTTCTAGGTACTATGTAAAATTTTAGATGTTGAAATTTTTAACTTCTTTTTGTAGTGTGGATTTCACCAAGCAAAACAGACTATATAAATAAATAGCATTTGAAGTGATAAATAGTTATTTTTTAATAGTTAACAGTGCTGAGGGATAGATATGGTTTCTTCTAAGACAAAATTGTTGTAATGAAAGTACATTCATACATTCATACTCAGTATATTTAGTTATACAAAAGCAAGGGCTGGGAATCTACCCAGTGTCAGACTGTTAGAGTAGTATAAGTGAAACCATAGATTTGGTATGTAGTACCCCAAAACAAACAAACAAAAGTGTACTATTTAAATTTTAATGTTTTATTATAAATCTATGCAAATGAGTATATCTTACTTGTCTAATGTATTCAAAGGAGAAGTAATGACAAGATCTATGAAATCATAGCATATTACTATTGTTCTGTGCAAGCATGACTTCTGCAGTTATACATGAGGAGTTAGCAAGAAGATTTTAAAGAACTGAACAAATCAAAATGAAAAAAACTTCACGGGCTCCTGGAATGTTAAAAGCCTAGAACACTTAATCACAGATCCAAAACAGAAAATTAGATTTTGAGTGGCATCTTCAATCCCAAGGTCTGTAGCCATATGATACAATTCCTGACCATGCTGATGAATTTTTAATTCAATGCATGATTCTGGTATTTATTGATTTAATAAGGTTAGGGGAATTACATTGTTGCTCTACTGATGAACTCAGCAATTTAATCTAGTGAAATCTTACAAGAAATGTGTGTTTAGTAATGAGAGAAATAGAACAGGAGCAATACTTATGTATATAGAACTACTCACTACTCCTGACAGTGGCAAAAGCAAAACCTGTTCTTTTCCAACTGCTTTGAGCTCCAGACATTTTCTTTCACTAAAGATGTTGCCTACCAATTGATTGAGCTGACAGTAAAAGGGCTGCAGGAGAATTTTGCAGAGTCCTTCAAAGTTGAGAGGGAAATTACTGGCCCACACTTACCTCCTCGCCTCTCCTCATACATTGTTTGTTTTTGTTTTCCTAACAGCACAGTTCAACCAGGCCTTGAACTCACTACATTGCTTAGGCTGTTACCCAAGCTGAGCATAAACTCTTGATATTCATGAATCACTCTCCTGAATGCTGGATCCTTTTCGATTTGGTTTACGTACACACACACACACACACACACACACACACACACACACACCTGAACTTTGTCACCTAACAGATTTTCAAGGAGTCAATCAATGTCGTCCTCCCCTGGAACCTAACATTTTCCACAGCAGTACTATACACACAGAACAGAAGACAATGGGGAAAATTCATTTTTTTAGAGGCAGTACTAACAAAATAGAATAAAAGGAGAGAAGTTTTTTAAACAAAGTCAGAATCAGAAAGAGGTCAAAATCTACCAGTTTCTGAAGCAAACACACTAGCTCTAGGGACTCTCTTTTCTGAAGCCAGCACACCAGTTCTTGGTACTCTGGATGCTTTTCTGAAGCAAACACTCCAGGTGACACCCTATTGCTGTGCTTACTGCCCCAAAATGGACACCTGGGAAGCATGTTATGCTTCATGTTTTCCCTGACTTTGAAGAAATGGCTAATCTAAGGAGTGCTGCTGCTGGGGTCAGTAAAACTATGTTAATTGTGAGCCTAATTGCTTCAAGCAGTCTTGCCTCTAAACAGGGAGAGGCCAGTTGATGGAGTCAGTCTGTTCCTAATAAAATGAAGAAGCACTGAATTGAATTCCCAAGGAAGGCACTATAAAAGTTTCCACAGTGTAACCAAATGACTTCACCTATGCTATTGCCTCTGAGATGACATCTTTGAGAGAAAGCAGACCCCAGTTGGGCTCCATATTCATAAATTGGCTGCGCTTAGGCCTGTAAATCTGGATTGATTTAAAGGGCTTCTTCATCCTTCCACTCAAATGAAGTCATTGTTAATTAGATGATTTTTTTTGTTAATAATGTCACTCTCTCCATATTACCTGCTCACACTTGAGCCCTTCAAGTGCAACATCTGGAACTCCAGTTCCCCTGCAATCAGTTCTTGCAACACTTCTGCTGGAGGTGGTGGTATTTTCCATTCCTCGATCCCTGTCTGAAGAAAGATGCTATTCAGCGCGTTGGTGTGCTGTACAGACCATCTTCCTAAAACTGAGATATTATAAAGCAATCACTGGAAACACTGTTACAATCTGGTATTTCGGGAGCTACACTGCAGGTTTCCTACCTTGTAGGTGAATGTTTTAACTTTTAGAAGGAACCCATGAGAAAGATGTCTTGGCTGGTAAAAAGTCATTTGCCACCAAGTCTGACTACCTGAGTTCGAACCCCGTGGAAGGAGAATGGAATACTGAAAGTTATCCTCTATCCTCCACTCAGCCAAGGCATGCATGAGAGGGGGATATTAAAAAGAATAAAGAAAAAAATAGAAGACCAGAGTTAACTTCCACTAGCTCTCCAGCTTCTTAAACCCAGGATATTCCTTAAAATAAAAATAATACGTTTTGAGGTTCTCCAAACGTAGCCTCAGACAGACACCACACACACACACACACACACACACACACACACACACACACACACACACACACA